AAAATCAAAATTTAAAGGATAGGAAAGCAGGTTCTGGCACCCAAACCAGTCCATTTTGTTTCTTTAGCTGGTAGTTTTATTGTATCATTTTCAAAACTTTTGAAATCCCCGTCTTGAATGAAAACAGAACAGCTTTACAGCTTTAGGAGCCCGTTAAGTTATCGGGACTTTCGAGAAACGGGTCCAAGAATCGAAGGAAAATTACTTCCAAGAGTAACCATTGGTTCATTCAGTTAAATGATTAAGGGAAGCTCCTAGATAAGATGAGGCGATGAAGTACACAAATAAAGATACTTTTCACATCGGGGAAACTCACCAAGGCGAGACCATAAGTTTTGGATACTATGCATTTTGCCATTCAACTCCGTCGAAAATATTTACTGCTCTAAATAAAAAGCATATTGTTTTCCGCTGTTTTTCGAGGAGGTTGTGTCCCGGCAATAGTACACGCCATTCTTGTCAAAATCACCCACTTTGTTAGGCAAAAAATTAAACATGTCCCATTTGAACGTGACCTACCTTTTCAAAATCTGCCCTCGATGATGTAAGCAAGCTGATAAATTTTTCCTGCAAAATATAAAAAGAGTTTTGAAATATTTCAGACAGCTTCTTAGGGCGATCTAACCGATAAGTTCATGAACTTCGAGGTTTCACAAGTGTTCCGTGCCTTTATCTACCAAAAGGAGAGCAAAACTTCAACCAAGAAATAGGGCTTTTCAGAGCCAATATGAAGAAATGAATAAATAAACAAAGTGTTCAAAAATCCCAACTGGCCCACTTGACTGTATACAAAGCACAGCAAAGGAGTTGAACTCGGGACAAACAAGAACAAATCCAGTGAGTAACACGGTGGATCACCAGATTACAAGTCCGGTACCCTAACCAATCGGCCACACTGCCTCCAAACAAGTTAAAGAGTAAATGTTAAAGAAAGATTTATGCAAATGCCACTCGTTTTCCCGCCCTTTTGTAGTTTTGCCGCTGAAGACCGCGGGNTAAATGTAGCTTTTCAGATCTACCCCCCTTCCCCTACTTAGGCTACCGATGTACTTCCCCCCCTTCCCCACAACTTCTGACCGTCCTTCCACCTTGGCATTTTGCCTAGACTACGTGTAGCCGCACTCTCCCCCCATAGAGAAACAGAGGTGGTTTCTCCGCGGGGGGGAGGGTGCGGCTACACGTGGGCTCCATTTTGCCAGATTTCCCAGTACTATTTATATTGCTGAGTGGAGAGAGGCATAGTGAGAATAAACTGCCTTGCACAACACAACACGGTAAACCAAGGGCAGCCGTCAAACCCGGAATCATTACTCTTGGATTGAGCCCACAAACAATCTCACCACCCTATCAGCAATGTCACACATTACAAACTTATCTGTCGTACCTCAGACTCCAGGCGAGTTCTCGTCTGTGTTTCACTCTCCAATTTGCTGCTTATCTGCGCATGTTCGTTTCTACCACTGGCCACCTGTGAATCGAATTCGGCGCGCGTTTGAAGTAACGCTTCTTCATGCTTGGCCTGTAACAAAACAGGAACATTTTAAACATTAGACTTAGAGGAGCGATTAGTTTGTTAATTCTCCCTGTAATATCCACTGATTATGCAACAAACAGATAATGAGAATACTCAAACTTATCAGGTAGAAGTTGCTGCCTCGATCTAACACCAAACTTTGGAAACTTATTTACCAGGGAATGAGAAGCAACTAGAGGGGAGAATTAAGTATCAGATATTGGAGTTAAGGGTAAATAAAAAAACAACCGAGTGGCGAGTGTTCTTAAAAACTTTCCTAACTTTTGATCAGGAAGTAATTTTTATTAATGTTACAGTTTGCTTTACCTTTTCTTAGTTTATAGTAACTTACCACTTTGACCGCTTTTTTCTCTAACTTTTCCTTCAAAATCGCGATTTCTTTTCCCATAGACGCTTTGGTTGCTTCTAGACGAGCCTTGGTTTCAGCTAGCTCAACCTATCAAACAAATAATGATTGAATTAACTCAGTTCTTAAAACCCTAGTGGGCTTTATAAAAGTCTCATGAACCCAAAAAAACAGTAAGCACAGGAACCAATCAGAAAAAAAGAAACTTTTTGCAAGAAGCCAATCAAAACGCAAAGTACATGCGTGCAAACGTCCTCGAGCGCGGGAAAAGCCAGTGATCACGTCGCGATTGATTCTAGTTTTGCCTTTGATTGGCTGATAAATGGCACGAGTTTTATCGACCAATCACGAAGCGCAGTGAAGCAAAACGAATGCAAACCGTGAAGTGAAAATTGCCCCAAAGAGAATTTATTAATTTATCAATTTTTACCTGCGCTGCTTTGAGTTCCTCTCTCAGTGAACCACTACTTTCTTCGTAGCTCTTTCGAGTTTTATCCACCGCTTCAAGCTGATAAAGAGCTTCAGTTTTCTGCTGAGAATGATGTCGCGTTTCTTCCATCAAGGCGTCGTTTTTACGCCTTTCTTCCTCAAGTAATTCGCTATGCGTGGCGCGGGCGTCTTGTTCTTCTGCCAGCGCTCTCTTAAGATCTCGAATATCGGACTCAAGTTGTTGAACGGTGTTGCATAACGATTTCATTTCAGCTTGTTGCTGGCGCTTCTCGACCTCCAAGCTTTGTCGCTTCTCCAGTTCCCTGTTGAAAAACGAAGAATTTTTCAGAATACACAGAAAGATGTCCAGTATTCGTCTCGTCACTGCATCAACATTTTACCTTTTACACCCTGACATCAGTATGCATATTCTCCATACTGTTCTCTATACATTTCCTAAGCTACTTACAAGGAGAATTTGTTTGACAATCAAGAGCTTCTTGAGTTGGTGATTGTTTCCTTAATTCTCCTGCCCTTAATGTGTGATTCAGGGGTGATATTGTGAGGAGAAATTAAATGCTGGTCATTCTTAGGGATTAAAGAGTTAAGCTACAAAGAACTCAATAGCAAGCTTGACCACACAACACACCAACTGGAGAATGCTCTTTACGCCGTATTCCAATATTTCGTTCCCTTTTGAATTAAAATCTAAGTGGATCACTAAGAGTAGAAAAGGAAAAGGAAACATTGGAAAACAACAAGAAGTATTTTTCGTCCTAAACTCTTCCTACGATCAAAACAGCGCTGAAGAAAAAAATTCTTCTCTTTAACCTACTTGGCAAGTTTTTCTTCTGATCTTGAAATCTGTTCCTTTAGTTGACTCTGAAGAGCTTCAGACACGCGCAAAGCTTCGCTCTCCTGTTCATGTTTATACTGCAGTGTCCTATAAGCTGCCTCCACCTCCATTTTCAGCCGCTCAGATTCAGATCTCTCTTTGGTTAGAGTCTCCACTTTCCTGGTTAGGTAAACAAGATTAAATTTAAGTGAAACATTCTTCACAAGGGTTGGACAAATTGAAAGCTAACTATCTCGTAAGGATAACACCATCAAAAGCATAAAGCGTTAAGCAGGGGATTAAGCAATGGAGTATCGAATAACTGAAGCCAAAATTATCACAACGGCCGATAAGAGGAAAGGGAAATGTCTTTAAGAACCAATGAAAACTCAAACTAAACCAAGAAAATTACTCAAAGCGCGGGAAAACACGGGTGACCAATTCATGATCAATTTCAGTTTTGCATCTGATTGGTAGAGATGGTAACGCGAATTTTCTGTACCAATCACAGAGCAAAGCAAAGAAAAACCAAGGCAATCAAAGATCACCTTTGCAACTCAATTGAAAACTGCTCTAAAAGTTAACAGGTTTCTACCGAATACAGATTTATCCAGTGGATAGCCTTAATCAACCTTCGAACAACTGGGGCCAGGTTTGTAGTTGCAATTTCGAAATTGGATGCATTCTCAACTTAGTTCCTGTTTATTACCTTACGGGTTTTATTTCCTTTTTAGAAATATTCAAGCGAGCTGCACTTGTAAGCCAGAATTTCTTTAGTTTTGCTTTGCTTCGTTGTGATTGGGTCAGAAAACTCGCACCATCCCCTCAACCAATCAGATGTAAAACTACGACCAATCGCGACTTGGTTGCTTGCGTTTTCCCGCGTTAAGCAGTTCGTCTCTATTTAATCTGAATTTTCATTGGCTAGCGATGATGTTAACCCCTATGCTGATTGGCCGTCGTCACAACGTCACTACGTACGCACTTCAACATTCAATTAAAAACTGCTCTGACACCTACTCAAAGCCACCCTTCTTAATCACCCCTCTCCCTGAAAAAGAAATGTTGAATGAGTCTTTCTTAGGGTGTACTACATTTGGTGATATTTGATATACGCCATCAAAAAATGTCTCTTACAATTGCAACTCAGCTAAGTCGCTCTCCATTTGCTTCCTGCTTGTCTCCAATGCCACAATTCTTTCTTTCTGCTTGTCAACTTGTCGTTTCGAATCGCGAAGGGCTTCTTGAAGCCGCGCGAAGCTTTGACTGTCTGAAATGTGAAGATGAATGATTGGTTTAACTCAAAGAATAACTACAATAAAGTTTCTATAATATGCAAATCACTGTTGAGAAGGGAACAATTCTTCCAGGCCTTCTGAAGCACGAGAAAGGATGTTACGAGCTTCAAAGCTGGAAAACACAAAAAACACGCATAGCGCATACGATGGAAAGGCGGGACGCCTGTAAATCTTCAGCTGTGATAACCAAGTAACATTTGGAAAGAACGGCAAAAGATGGCAGGGATCAGCACTTCATAAGCTATAAACTGTAAATATGACTTGACCAATCAGATTTACGAGTGTGCTTAACACAACCTAAAACGATGCACAGAAAAAAAAAAAAATCACAGATGAAGACAAAATTCCCTAGGACATTATGACGTGTAGATTAGTGCTATGACGTGTAAATGAAGTGTGCGCGCGGAATAAGTGCGCCATCGGAAAGAAATCGATTTCGCCGAATGACGTACTTATCTATGGGTTTCCAATCATTAGGACAATACTGTCGAAGGAATTCGCTCCTGATCGGCCTAAAAAGAGCTGCTTATCTTATCAAATTAATCGCTCAGAATTTCGCGCCAAAAGACACGGCCACAGCATTATCCCGACTAGTTTCCAGGCTTTTTTAAGTACGAATCACCTTCGGAAAATCAACGAAATTTCACCTGAGGTCGACAAAAATCTCATTTGATCCGAAAAACTCTAGCAGTTGTTGTTTTTAAAGGCTGATAGTTTCTAAAGAAACTGTTTGGGGCTGCGTCGGTGGGGGTAACGAAATAATTTGGATATATCAACAAAGTTAAAATGGTAAATTGGCCACCGTAACGATTACAAAAGCAGTGACATTTCGAGCGTTAGCCCTTCGTCGGAGCATAGTCGAGCAAGGCTACATTCTTTATAATGTAATGGTGTTCGGTAGCGTAATAAGATTTCAAGTAAAAAGGGAGCAATCTTCAAGTGTTTCGAAGCAAATGTGTAGTATCGTTAGCATTTGTCAGTCCCTACAGGCGTAATTAAACCTGATTAATCAGGAACCAAAGAGGAATTGTGCAACCAATGAAAAGCGCGGAAAAATAAGTATGTCACGGGTCACTTGCTTACTGGTTGAAAATTAGTATGTTCGCTCTGATTGGCTTATGGCATGTTGCACATTTCTTTTGAATGTAAGTTTCTTTTTTCTCGAAGCCAGTGACAAACTCCTTATAAAAAGGGAATATTTTCAAGTGTTACAGTTAGCTAACCGTCAAGTATTTCATTGGTTTTGTTTTTTAGTTCTGTCTTGATATTCACTTAAGAGACGAAATGTGTTAAGCTATCATAGCGCCCATTGTAGTTTGTTTTAGTGACAATGAAAATGTAGAACGGTACATTACCATTAAAAGCTAAATGGAAAAGCTCTTGTTGTTTATCGTATTAATTTGTAGCTTGTTTGCATATTTGAAGATATCGAACACTGAATTTATGCTCTCACAGCGATTTGTTATTGTCTTTTTTTT